GGCGATAATCCCATTGCTTTGAGCTTGTTGAGCAGATTTTCATGCCAAACTTTGTCGAATGCTTTAGATATATCTAAGGCAATTGTTCTTGTTTCACCCCGCAACTCAATCGCTTTTTGCCATAAGTGAGTGACGTATGTAAGTAAATCGCCAGTTGACCTATATTTTCGAAATCCGTATTGCTTATCGTTGATAATTTTGTACTTTTCCAAGTACTTGGTTAGGTGATTGTTCACAACTCTTTCCATTACTTTTGATATCACCGGAAGTAGAGCAATTGGTCTATAGTTTAACGGATCTGTCTTTTTTCCTTTCTTTGGAATGGGTTGTACTGCGGCAGACTTCCATGATGATGGATATACTCCCCTTGCCTGTAAGACAAATTGAATAATTTTGCGAAAGTTGGGGTGAGTTCGTTGGCGCAATTTTTGAGTACTATTGCGGGAATGCCATCCGGACCCATTGCTTTGTTTGTATCCAGCTTTTTTAGGGATTTTCGTATTTCTCTGTGACAAAAGGGTACCTCTGGCATACTATGGGGAACCCTTTCAATGAACGGTGGAGTTTTTCTGTTTGGCACTGTTAGGTTGGAGTTGGAGGAAAACATTTGGGCAAGCATATTGGCTTTTTCCTCTGATGTTGTGGCTAAGTGATTATTTTTATGTGTAAGTGGGTATGGATGACTTGGTGAAGTTAGATCCAACAGCTTTTGCAAGAGACCAAAAAGACCTAGAACTACTTGGACAATTCAGCAACCTGTTTTTTATTCTTTGATTGTATGTTTCTTTAGCGGAGTCAATAGTAATTTTGCAACTATTTCTGGCTTCTATAAATTCTGTGTGGTTTTGAGCGGTTTGTTGTCGTTTCCAATGGTTATATGCTCTGTGTTTTTTCTGTACAGCCGTTTGACACTGGCTGTTGAACCAAGGGTTTGCATTAGCTCTACGTTTAGTTGTATGTGGGATATATGCGTCCATTCCAGATAAGATTACTTGTGTTATTTCATTACAGCAAATAGTGGGATCAGCTGTTTTAAAGCAAACCCTCTTGCCATGGAAAATCCAGGTAATACTGTTTTAGGTCATTCCATTTTGCCGATTTATAGTGCCACATTTTACGAGGAAGTGGTTGTAGGCTTGGTGGGATGAGCATTTCGCACTTTGTTATTATAAGTTTATGATCGGACGAACCAAGTGGAGCATCTACTTGAATTGTGTACGAGTCAGGATTGGTGGTTAGGAACAAGTCTAAAAGCGCTGCAAATTCGCCCCTTTCTGAGATACGGGTAGGTTCATCGACAAGCTGCGTTAGACCACAACTTATGGCAAAAGCTTCTGCTTCTCTGCCTTCGTTATCTGTTTTGTTGTGGTGTTTCAGCCAGGGAATATTGTGGACGTTGAAATCGCCTAAAAAGACAATTTCCGCCTGTGGATAGTTTGACTCTATACTATCACAGCTTTCGGATAATGTCGCGAAAAAGTTTTGGTAATCGGTGTTACTTGGCGGTCGGTAGAGGCAGCAGATAAACTTGGTCGATGACTTTGAGGTGAATTTTAGCCATATGATATCAAGGTTCGCTGGTTCTAGCTTCTCCTCTCGATGACATGAAAGGTTATTTTTAATGTACACACAGATCCCAAAATTATGTCGAAATCGGTGGTGTAGGTCATAGCCGGGATAAAGATAATTCACGATAGGTGTTGCAGAACTGATTTTAGTTTCAGTGAGAACAAGGATGTCAGGTCTTTGTTCTTCAAGATGTTGGTGAACTGAATTCATATTTGTACTTATTCCTCTTATATTGCTAAAATCAATTCTGAGTTGAGTTTTTGATCTTCTCTTTATATAATATATATTATTTGATAGTTGTCAGAAAAAGGGACAGATCTGGGGATTTTATTTATTTTCAACTGGTGAAAATAACGGTCAAAATTCAAACTCTCTCGTGAATACGACTATATCACAGTCGATTGGTCGATTTTTGTTTTTAAGTTTACCAGTCATGATTTTACAATATCAGTAAGTAAGAAATTTTTTATGCCATGAAAATGTACTAGAAATTATCAAATTGTATTTTTGTATAAAAAGACCCAAAATGTATTAGATTAGTACAATTGTACTAGCTCTGGCAACGCTGGCCTGGATTGTTAGAGAGGCTGACTAGTCGGGTCAGATCTTTTAATAGTTATTTTCCTAACAAGTGCGCAAAGTGTTACTTTTCCGCACGCGAATACAGTTATACGAACGACGCGAAGCGGAGTTCGGATACGTGTTTGCGTGCGGAAAAGACACTTTGCGCACGTGTTAGGAACAAAATTTTTCCTACGAGCTTCATATCAGGTACGTAATAACAGAAATTTAAACAAAAAACGATAATTTGTTTAATTATTTTTAATTAACTTGAAGGGAACCTATGCATTTATCAAAAAATTACATAACAAAAAACAGAAAATCCTCGTCAGAGCTGTTCATCTTAAAGCGTTTAAATTTGATGAGAAAGTTTGTAGATTTTTGCATATAAATAGAGAACAAATCTGACAATGTGTCAAAGTTAATTTATAATTGGTGTTTGTATAGATGTTGGCTGATATAGAAATAGAGGAAAAATTTGTCATCATGTGTCAAAGTCGACAGGTGCACTTATTGTTGCTTGACAATTATAATTACTTTTCGGCACTCAGTGCGGATAAGGCCTGTATCCGCACTGAGTGCGGAAAAGTGTAACTTTGAGCCCGGAAATGCGTGCGGAAAAGTACTACTTTGCGCACGCTCGTAGGAAATAGTTATTTTCCTAACAAGTGCGCAAAGTGTTACTTTTCCGCACGCAAACACAGTTATACGAACGACGCGGAGCGGAGTTCGGATACGTGTTTGCGTGCGGAAAAGACACTTTGCGCACGTGTTAGGAACAAAATTTTTCCTACGAGCTTCATATCAGGTAGGTAATAACAAAAATTTAAAAAAAAAAACGATAATTTGTTGTTATTTTTAATTAACTTGAAGGGAACCTATGCATTTATCAAAAAATTACATAACAAAAAAAAATAACAGAAAATCCTCGTCAGAGCTGTTCATCTTAAAGCGTTTAAATTTGATGAAAAAGTTTGTAGATTTTTGCATATAAATAGAGAACAAATCTGACAATGTGTCAAAGTTAATTTATATTTGGTGTTTGTATAGATGTTGGCTGCTGATATAGAAACAAGAGGAAAAATTTGTCATCATGCGTCAAAGTCGACAGGTGCACTTATTGTTGCTTGACAATTATAATTACTTTTCGGCACTCAGTGCGGATAAGGCCCGTATCCGCACTGAGTGCGGAAAAGTGTAACTTTGAGCCCGGAAATGCGTGCGGAAAAGTACTACTTTGCGCACGCTCGTAGGAAATAGTTATTTTCCTAACAAGTGCGCAAAGTGTTACTTTTCCGCACGCAAACACAGTTATACGAACGACGCGAAGCGGAGTTCGGATACGTGTTTGCGTGCGGAAAAGACACTTTGCGCACGTGTTAGGAACAAAATTTTTCCTACGAGCTTCATATCAGGTAGGTAATAACAAAAATTTGAAAAAAAAAACGATAATTTGTTTAATTATTTTTAATTAACTTGAAGGGAACCTATGCATTTATCAAAAAATTACATAACAAAAAAAAATAACAGAAAATCCTCGTCAGAGCTGTTCATCTTAAAGCGTTTTAATTTGATGAGAAAGTTTGTAGATTCTTGCATATAAATAGAGAACAAAATCTGAAAATGTGTCCAAGTTAATTAAATTTGGTGTTTGTATAGATGTTGGTTGATATAGAAACAGAGGAAAAATTTGCCATCATGTGTCAAAGTCGACAGGTGCACTTATTGTTGCTTGACAATTATTTTTACTTTTCGGCACTCAGTGCGGATAAGGCCTGTATCCGCACTGAGTGCGGAAAAGTGTAACTTTGAGTACCGAAATGCGTGCGGAAAAGTAATACTTTGCGCACGCTCGTAGGAAAAATATGTTTCCTTACAACCATACCAAATTTCATGCTTGTAACCCAATTTGGCGTTTTCCTCTAAAATTTCGTGCGAGGGAACTCCACTATTAGCTCGTACATCATTTGTGTTGTCAACAAGCTGATCCAGTGTAAAGTCAAGTTAAGCCATTGTTAAGCCAACATAAATTGGCAAATAAATTGGCGAACAAATTTATCAATTTAAATTGTCAGTGTAAAACTAGCATTTTAAGAAGGGTATTTTTTCATATTTTGACGGGATTCTAGTCAATGGGATTTTGCATAGGGCTTAGAAAAGGTGCTGAAATAGTGCTCTATCAATTTCATGGCTAGAATCGATGTCTTTATTGATTTATTGAATTTATTTTGAATTAAAAAAAAAAATGCTACGCCCATGGCCGTTAGGGTGCTTTTGCCAAATTGGCTGCTAATTTCACACCCGTCACAGATCTCTGGGAATCACAGACCACAGCTTATTGTCATTGGTTTCGACTTGATACTCGCTGCTCAATGTGGCTGTGCAAACAAGGCTTGAACCGAGTAAAAATATGTTGCTCAAGTTTTGCCAGCAGTAGTCCACCAATCAAATGCTTCAGAAATCACAAAATATTGTCTACATCTCGTTGCCTAGAAAGATACTTCTAAATTTGTTTCTTTACTACTTATTATTAGTCAATAATTTTTGATAGTGTGGATAGAAAACTAGAACAGAATATAAAATTTGTGTATTTAGTAATGAACTTTATTGAATCGATAGGATATTTTGATCCACCTATTTTTAATGCTGGTCCATATTTGTTCCCAAATATTTAAGCTATTCCTATGCTTGCACTATTTTAGTATTCAGTATCATGTCGCCTATCCTTGAATTTTTAATAAAACCTGATAATAACTTGCTGAAGAGAGAATTTTTGCTGGTTAGAGAACAAAAAAAGCTTCTGACACAAATGTCTCATACTCAACAAAAATCCAATCAACTTCATTCAAAAAAAAAATGTTAATTTACAGGCAAGTGTTCTGTTGGATGGATCGCTGGCACGGTCTTACAATGGAGGACATCAGGAGAATTGAAGAGAAAACGAAAGAAGAATTAGAAGCGTTAAGGAAAACGGGCGAAGCGCGCGGAATGAAGGCAGAGTCAGATTAAAATATTTTAGCCAAAAAAAAAGAGAAAAAAAGATCCACCGATATAGTTAATTAACTTAAAAAGCAACAGTCTTAACTTTACCAAAAATTAAGGAAAAAAATAGTTTAGGGGGGCAACAGTGGTCTTCTTTTTTCAGTCATTGGCGCCCTGGTCAAAGTATTGTAAGAGTAAAAAAAAAAAAAATGTTTTGGGTTATTTTTGGCTAAACTTGTTCGGCAAATAAGGTCTCTGTTTATATTAGTTTTATTTTCCGTATTGAAATCGGCCTCAACGAACAAGTTCAGTCACTTTTTTTTTTGATATGCACTTAACAAAAATGGGTTATAGATTTTATGCATTTACTTATAGGATTTTTTTTATTTTTTATGGAGATTTAGATTATGTACGTGTTTTATATTTTTTTCAAAAGTTACCAAGGAAAACACATGTTTGTGGTTTCTTATAGGAGACGACCTTCAGCCTGAAAATTGTCAACGCGGATTAAAAGAAAAATAATGAAAATATTCAGTTGCCATCCCTCCCACAAGATATAATATCCTTTTTCTTTTTTTTTTTTTTTAATAATTATTTGTGAAGTTTTATATAAAAAAAATAAATTGTTTGTTTTTCATGAATGTTTGTTTTATTTTGCTTGGTTTCATTATTTTTCTTTTACAGCCTGAAGAAAGACAATATATGTATTTCATATAGTCTAAATCGAAATACTTAGTCAGAAATGTTTTTTTTTTATAAACTGACAAGTAGATGAAATACCTAAATAGTTACAGTATGAATAATTTGTTTCTGTAATAATCACATAAAGTGGGTAGTTAGAATCGATTTTGTGATTCTTGCAGAAAAAATACTAATGTTTTTGTGAGTAGTTTAAATATGCATCGTTACAAAAACAAAAATGTTCCCATATTCAAGTCATTGACTCTTGTCAATGGAGAATTTCATTTTAATTTCTAAATCTTAGATTTTCCAGACAGACTTGTAATATGTTTCTGAAAGGTACACATTTTATATCAGAATTCTAGAATTCATACAGAGAAAACAGCATTCCTACTTTTTAATCCATCATAATGATCTGGTCTGTCGGTGAGAAATTATTATAACAATAAATAAAGTTTAAGATGGAATGTGGCTCTCGCATACATATTTGGTACCCCTAAAATGACTTTCTATGCTCAAGATGAAGTTTTGTGTTGGTTAAAGAGCTTGAAACAACTAATTTCTGTCTTGATAAATTAATAAATAAACCTCTCAATTTCTAGTGATTCGGGCAGTGACTGGAGAAGTATTTTCATACAAGATGATAGTATGAAATCTGGAGCAATGATGTTCCTTGTTCCTGTGTATATTGGATTCGACTTCTTGTAATGTGTTTTCAAAACAGGTACCCTTCAAGAGTCTACTTATAAACCAAATCAGTAAATAAGACGTTTCTCCATTGGTTATGCTACCAGATCACATTATGTTCTTGTTGGTTGGCTGGCACCTTCCTTTCTTTCTTTTTGTCTTATTTTGCTAGTTTTGATAGATTCTATACGTAATTTCATTTGAAGTCGAGAATATTACCTAATTAATACAGAAAATTCTGAAAAATATTTAAATTGTCCAGTGAAATTCTCCATTTACTATTTCAGACAGTGTGTTTGCTAGTTCTTGAAAGCTTCGGAAATACACTATGATTTACCTTTCAATTGTCAATTCTTAGAAATCCTCTTTAATACAAAATGAGGGACAGGTATTGAACAAATATTTTTTCCTAGACAATAGAACGCCCCAGCAGTATGATGCTCCAAGTACAATTTTTTTTAATACCTATATCTACCTAACTTTTTTATATTCGTGTTTAAAAGTTTGATCGAACGACTTGGAAAATTTTAAGAAAAAAGGAAAAGTTTGAACTTCAAAGTGTTTTATCAAATTTCTAAACGCAGGTTTATTGTGGTTTCGGAAAATTTACTTATAAGTAAAAACCTGGTGGTTTTTTACTTAAGTTTCAATTATTATGATCTACAGAAATGTAAATAATTTTGGCCTAAATTCATATTTAAAACAAAAAGATTTTTGTTAGATCACTTGTTAGAAACTGTGATTCTTTTTGAGGCCTAATTTATTCACTTTCTGATAAACCGTCGAATCCTATTGATCGGCTGGATACTAATTTGGTATATTTGTCTTGTAGACAGTTAACAGCAAGTTTATCTGGAGATGAATAAACTGGGTGAATTGAGAGCCTTACATTTACATCACTGTAGCCCTATTATTATGGAAAGATTGAACAGGAAAACGTTTTTTGCGAAGACCCTATTGTATTTATAATAGGTGTAATAGATGGATATCTACAGTATTTTTATCAGACATTTAATGCACTACCGATTCCTATCTCCAGTCCCAAATATTACATGGTCTTTCAAAAAGCATTTACACTGTAAGCTAGAATGTATTACATTTTTCCCTGCTCAGTTTTTATACTTACCTCCCTATATACTTATAGGATATGTTGACTATTATTTTTATAAAAATAATCATCCCGATTCATTTGCTAACCTTTTTCATGCAAATGATACAGGATGTCAATAGGAGTTTCCTTTTCACATTTTACAGAAGCGAGAAGTACCAGATGAGTTATATAGTAAAAATAGTTATGGATTATACATGTTTATAATAAAGAAATTTTTGCCAGGTCTGTATGTAAGTTAATTAAAAGTGTATTTAACAAAAAAAATAAAACGTGGTGAATTTTTATTAGCTAGGTATGTATGTAACAATGTAAAAAAAGTAATAATGAATTGAAAACTGTACACAAAAAATGTTAAATAAAGATAATAGGACTAGTCAAATGTTGAATTTGTGTTTTTTATTTTGAAAGCAATTCCTAGAGAGGATATCTTAGTACCACAGATTCCTTCAGAGAAGTGTAATTGGATCAAATTATTTGAGGCTCCAAATTTGAGGGGTGCTACCATTTTTTTTTTTTTTTTGATGGGGATTGATGGAAAGGAAATGAGACGCGTAAAAAAAAGTTATTTTCACGAGGATTTGTACTTACGCCATCATTTGCCTTTTTTTTTTTTGAAAAATAGGTTTTTTTATGTCTGAAACTTCAAACAAACGTGGCACGAAGGTTTTTACTTACGTCATCAATGACGTCATAACTTTGAGAAAAAGTTTAGTCATAGATTAATTCATAGAGCACCTTCGGAATTATTGTTTTGTGATAAATTTTTTAACTTGGAATAGAGTTTATTCTAGAGATGCCACGAATATTCGGCCATTTTTTTTTGTATTCGGTATTCGGCCGAATAGTATTACCCGGCCGAATACCGGAAGCTGAATAATGAAAAAAAAAACGCACATATTATTCAAAAATGTATCTATTTAATAACAAGTCACAATGAATCTAATACTTAAAATCTATTAAATAGGCGACTTTTTATTAATTACTGATGCTATTTTGATAACTTTTGCTAAAGATAAACTGATAAACAGTAATATAAGTAATAACGTGCGATCAAAAGAATATACCTAATAATGCGTAAAATTCCGTCGTTACCGTAGGCGACGCAATAAGAATGAGACAGGTCTTAGCTGTTGATAACGCACAAAACCCACAGAATATTCGGCGCTACAAACGAGAGCGTGGCCGAATATTCGGTATTGGTATTCGGCCAAATCACTATTCGTGGCATCTCTATTATTCAGTTATCTGAAAATATATAAATAAATTTCTCTGGAGTGATTTTTCATTGGAAAATTTTAAAATTTTCCTATAATCAGCTCCTCACTTTCCTCTTTCTCCTGTAAAATTTTCAAAATTTTCCCGTTGCCAGTTTTCCAGAAAAAATTTAAAATGTAAGAGGGCGAATTTTCCTTAATTTTGCCTAAATAAGTCAATTTTCTTTGAATTTTTCCTGGAATGATTTTTCACTGGAAAATTTCGAAATTTCCCTATAATGAGCTCCTCACTTTTCTCTTTTTCCTGGAAAATGTTCGAAATCTTCCCTTTGCCAGTTTTCCAAAAAAAATTTAAATGTGAAAGGGTGAATTTTCCTTAATTTTGCTTAAATAACTCAATTTTCCAGAATTTTTTCTGGAGTCATTTTTCACTAGCAAATTTTGAAATTTTCTTATATGTATTGTGTTCCTCACTTTCCTCTTTCTTCTGGAAAAATTCCACAATTTTTGCTTTGCCAGTTTTCCAGAAAAAAATTGAAATGTGAAAGGATGAATTTTGCTTAAAAGTTGAAGTAATTTCTCACTGAAAAATTTCGAAATTTCCCTATAATGAGCTCCCCACTTTTCTCTTTTTCCTGGAAAACTTTCAAAATTTTCCCTTTGCCAGTTTTCCAGAGTAAAAATTAAAATATAGGAGGGTGACTTTGTCTTAATTTTACTTAAAAAAGTTTATTTTCCAAAATTTGTCCTGGACTGATTTTCCACTGGAAAATTTTGAAATTTTCCTATAATGAGCTTTCACAATTTTCCCTTTACCAGATTTCTAGAAAAAAATTAAAATGTAAGAGGTTGAATTTTCCTTAATTTTGCTTAAATAAGACAATTTTCCAGAATTTTTTATGGAGTGATTTTTCATTCGAAAATTTTAAAATTTTGCTATAATGAGCTCTTTATTTTTTTCTTTCTTCTGGAAAAATTTCACAATTTTCCCTTTGCCAGATTTCTAGAAAAAAATTAAAATGTAAGAGGGTGAATTTTCCTTAATTTTGCTTAACACGTTCACGACCGCTATTATGAAATTTGACGATGCTTGAAACCAACCGTGTTTTTTTGGGTAGTAAAACTTTTGACCAGAAATAATATATTATTTTACAGATTATATGTGTTTTGTTATATATTTTTTGTATTTACATTTAATGTCACATATATGTGACATCGGTTTCCGGTAAGTTTTCCATTAAAATTTACCACCTGTCACAATGGAAAACCGTGCGACACACATGTATGACATAAACAGTTAGCTGGCCCCCAATTCTTGAATTTTCTCGCATACGAAAATTGATATGAATTCGAATGTTTCCTATTCAATTTACGTTGCTGTCATTCGAATTCGAATCAACTTACGTATGCGAGAATTTTCAAGAATTGACCCGCTGTTCTAGACTCTCAGCTTTGCTGTATAGGCGATAATTATTTTTCAATATCCAGTGAAAGTTACCTTATAACGTGCTACTCTAGTAAAAGAGTCTAGAAACAACAGAAACCTGCACTAGCTGGGAGACGACATAAACCACAGCTGCCATAAGCCTATGACTGAAACAAATTATCCAATCTTGAAACCATGCGACACAAATGTGTGCCAGACAGCCCCAGAAACTGATGCCACAACATATCTATCGCCGATCATGCATTTAATCATTGTAGGGTCATTGTCACTCATGTGTGACAACAGTTCCTGGCAAAAACTGCTTGTCACATATTTGTGACGCGAGGTCGTGAAAGTGTTAAATAAGTCAATTTTCCAGATTTTTTTATGGAGTGATTTTTCATTCGAAAATTTTGAAATGTTGCTATAATGAGCTCTTTATTTTTTGCTTTCTTCTAAAAAAATTTCACAATTTTCCCTTTGGCAGATTTCTAGAAAAAAATTAAAATGTAAGAGTCTGAATTCTCCTTAATTTTGCTTAAAAAAGTTAGTGAATTTTGCCTGAAAAAGTCAATTTCCCAGAATTTTTCCTTGAGTGATATTCCACTAGAAAATTTTGAAATTTTCCTATAATGAGCTCGTCACTTTTCTCTTTCTTCTGGAAAAATTTCACAATTTTCCCTTTACCAGATTTCTAGAAAAAAATTGAAATGTAAAAGGGTGAATTCTCCTTAATTTTGCTTAAAAAAGTTAATATTTCAAAATTTTTCCTGGAATGATTTTTCATTGGAAAATTTTGAAATTTTCGTAAAATGAGCTCCTCATTTCCTTTTATTCCTTCAAAATTTTCCCTTTGCTAGTTTTTCAGAAAAAAATTAAAATGTAAGAGTTGAATTTTCCTTAATTTTATTTGAAAAAGTCAATTTTTCAAATTTTTTCGTGGAGTGATTTTTCACTGGAAAATTTTGAAATTTTCTATAATGAGCTCCTCACTTTCCTTTTTCTTTTGGAAAAATTTCACAATTTTTGCTTTGCCAGTTTTCCAGAAAAAAATTGAAATGTGAAAGAATGAGTTTTGCTCAAAAAAGTCAATTTTCCAGAACTCTCCTCTCGACTTTCTTTGGAGTGATTTTTCACTAGAAAATTTTGAAATTTTCCTATAATGAGCTCCTCATTTTCTTCTCTCTCCTGGAAAAATTTCACAAGTTTTGCTTTATTAGTTGTCCAGAAAAAAATTAAAATGTGAGAGGATGAGCTTTTCTTAATTTTACTTGAAAAAGTCATTTTTTCAGAATTTTTCCTGGACCGATTTTCCATTGGAAAATTTTGAAATTTTCTTATAATGAACTCCTGACTTTCCTTTTTTTCCTCTTTTGCCAGTTTTCCAGGAAAAAATTTAAATATGAGAGGATGAATTTTCCTTAATTTTATTTGAACAAGTCAATTTTCCAGGATTTCCCCTGGAGTGATTTCTTACTGGAAAATTTCGAAATTTCCCTATAATGAGGTCCTCACTCTCTTCTTTTTCTTGGAAAATTTTCAAAATTTTCCCTCTGCCAGTTTTCCAGAAAAAAATTAAAATGTAAGAGGGTGAATTTTCCTTAATTTTGCTTAAATAAGTCAATTTTTTATGGAGTGATTTTTCATTGAAAAATTTTAAAATTTTGCCATAAATAAGCTCTGTAATTTCCTCTTTTTTTCTGGAAAATTCTCACAATTTTCCTTTTGCCAGTTTCTCAGAAAAAAATTGAAATGTAAAAGGCTGAATTTTGCCTAAAAAAGTCAATTTCCCAGAATTTTTCCTGGAGTGATTTTCCACTGAAAAATTTTGAAATTTTCCTAAAATGAGCTCTTTACTTTTCTCTTTCTTTTGGAAAAATTTCCCAATTTCCCTTTACCAGATTTCTGGAAAAAAATTAAAATGTAAGAAAGTGAATTTTGCTCGAGATTTTGTCTAAAAAAATTGGTTTTTCAAAACTTCAAAAGTGATTTTTCACTGGAAAATTTTGAAATTTTCGTAAAATGAGCTCCTCATTTTCCACTTATTCCTGGAAAATTTTCAAAATTTTCCCTTTACCAGTTTTCCAGAAAAAAATTAAAATGTTAGAGGGTGAATTTTTTCTAATTTTGCTTAAATAAGTCAATTTTCTAGAACATATTTGAGATTTCAGTCATAAAAAAAGCAAAGAATCACCCTTTGCCATTTCTACATGATATTTAGGAACACCCTGTATAATACACAGTGAAAAAAATTCATATATTTGGGACTACAATGATTTTTTAAGGGTCGGTATTTCAATGTCACCTTAAGAATCTTAAGATATAGAATAAACATAGACATTGACAACATTGTCTGACCTTGTTCGATGACGTCATCCTAAAAACATAAAAAACCCTATACCTATTTTAGGGTAAGTCTTGATTTTAAGGTAATATTGTAACGCCGGCCCCGATTGAAAAATTTTATTCCATAACAATAATAATTGCGAACGTGAATTTTAGGTTCGATTAGGGCAAGTTACTTTTTAAAAAACAAACTTTTAAAAGCAGGGACTTTATTACTCGAAATACAAATGAATAAAGACGAATTTTCATCCGTTACAATGGCTTAAATAAAATGGTATAAATGTAAAGTCAGCAGTAATAATCGTGTGGGTCGCTCGAAGTCGGATTGTTGTTACGGTTCTCATCCATAAGAGGCCATGTATAGAGTGTACATAACTCCTCCGCCCTTAGTGTAAAATTC